CGGAGAAGGAGAATCTCAGCGAGAGAACCGGAGAGGTTCGTGCCTCAGCGCACCATGCGCGGCCGCTGCTGATGGGGACGAAGCGCTGTCCGGACAGGGACCCCGGGGCCATGGCCCTACAGCAGCAGCCGCTCGCCCTCCGAGGGGGCTCGGCCCCGGTGCTCTATATCCACAGCATGCCCGCCTGGGTGCTGGAGGACTTCTGCCAGAAGATGGACTGCTTGAGCGACTACGACTGGATGCGATTCGGTGAGGGGATGTGGGGCAGGTGGGCTCTGGGGACACGGGGACAGYGGGGACAGCAGGGGATGTGCTTTGGGACGGGCTGGAGGGTGCGGGATTCGGGGGCTCCGCGCTGTCCCGCACTCCTCCCAGCGCCCAGCAAAGCACATCCTGTAAACAGGGAATTCCCGGGCACCAGTCTGGTTTTGTTTTTCAAACAAAGGTGGAATTCCAGATTTCTGTGGTCCCTTGGCTTTTCCTGGTCAGCCAGGCTTCTTCCCTTCACTCTCTTCAATCTTTTGCAGTCCCCTCTGCAGTCACACTGTATCTCCTGCCTGTTTTCACAATGTCCCTCACATCTGTTCAGATGTTCTATTTTTATTTTCCTCTTTCCCTTCATATATATTGCCGCGTACTTTCTGCCCCTGTTTTTCTCAGTCCTGGCTGTGTACAGTCAGCAAGTACGCAAAATGTAGTCCCTGAGTTGTTTACTCTTTTTTCTGTATTCCAATGCAAACAATTCTAACCTGATTCTTTTTTTAGTCCTACCTTCCTTTATTTGATATGACTTCTCTAACTGTGTGCTAAATAAGCTCTTAGCCCAGTTAAACTTCCTGATGTAGGGTAGGGATTCATCTCTATTATCTTCAGATGCATAAAGCTGTATTTCTGACGTCCTTCCAAAGCCAGCCTTGGTGAGAACCCAGGAATCTTTGTCTCCACACAAACACCCCAGACCCCGAATTCTCCTTCAAACCCTCTGAGACCTCAGCTCTGGGGCTGTGTCTGTGAGCTGGGGCAGTGTGAGGGGAAGGGGGTTTTGTGTGGGTGAATGAAATGGGAACAATACAGCGGGGTGACCCCATGATTGGGAGTCAGGACACATTTTGTAGGGTCAGCTTTGGCACAGGATCTAAAACCAGCTGCATTTCCCTGATAGCTTTATCGGAGTGTAACTAACACCCAGGTGATTCAGTTGTTGTTTGGCTGAGCACAGCACAGGGATTTAGGAATATGAGTGAGAATGCAACTGCTCCACTGGCTGCTGTCTCCTGTTCGGGGAGAATCACCCCAGGAATTTAATCTCAACTTACTTTGAGGCAAAGTATTAAGGAGAAGAAAGATTACAGGGAAAATATGCTCAGAAGTGTGACTGGGTCTCCTTTTTCAGTGACTCTGATATAACAACTTTTTTTCCAGAATAGTTGAAGGAAGAGAAGGGATCTCTTGCTTTAGGAAGAGAATTTTCTTCATGTCCACAAAACTAATTTATTGTGATTCTTCCTTTTAAAGATAAGCAAATGCAAAAGCAAACTGTGTCTCACACCTTAGCTCACCCTGCTTGCCCTTGCTAGTTTTTCAAATTTCTAAACAGAAATATCCATTCTCTCTCACCAGCCTCTTATGTGATCACCGATCAAACCGAGCTCCGGAAAATCAAGTGCATGGAGAAGACGGGGATCAGCATCACGAGGGAGCTGATGTGGTGGTGGGGAGTGAGGCTGGCAACGGTGCAGCAGCTGCTGGATCTGCTGCAGGGGCTGCAGCTTTACCGAGCAGCTCAGGTCATCCTGGACTGTGAGTATCTGCCCTCCTCTCGTGGCTCTGTGCTGCTCACAGCATAAACCCCTCCTGGGACAGCTCCCGTGCCAGCTGGAGAAACTTCACAGCCTGGGTCACATTCGAAATTGCCTCTGCTGATTGGGATTTTCTGCTCTCTCAGCTGAAATTGGTGGTGGGAGGGAGGAGGTGACACAGGGGGACTCTCTGGTCCCTGCAGCTCATTGCTCCATCTTTGGAGTGCCCATCTTGGGCCCTTCAAGAAGTGCCAGGAGGACGGGCTGTGGCCAAAGCAGAGCTGTGCTTTTACACATCACACAGGGTTTCAGAGCACAGAGACTGCACAGAGGGTCCCTGCCCTTCAAACCTGGTCCTGTGGCATTGGATCACAACCTGAGCAACAGCATATTCCAGCTCCTGCCAGGATTGCTTCCAGTCCAAGAGCAGCTTCCAGCAGTTGGCCACGACAAAGGGACACAGCACAGACAAAACCAACCATGATCTGTGCAGGGAAACACTCACTGTGGCTCCTCTTGCTGGAGGTTTAGACAAATCTTTGAAGTCTTTACCTTCCATTTCTGCTTTTTTCTCTGTATCTGACCATGCTTACTCAGGTGATTCCTCCTGGACAGATACAGAGGATATGTTTTTTGTTCTGTTGGGCAGTTCAGAAAACAAAGTGGTCGTTACGTCACCATAATTCAATTCATTCCTACTTAAAGGAATCAGACACAGCACACAGGGACATCTTTTGCTGGCAAATTACTTCCCAAAGACTTCTACCTCCCTTCAACATTTTCTTGCACTCTCTAGACCCACTTCTGAATGTCCATAATGATGTTTTCTATGTCAGTGCTTTAGCTGCAGTGCTGCCCTGTTTGTCTGATGTGCAGGAAGTTGCAAAAGTCACGAAAAACCCTGAAAAGTAGGTTGAATAAGGGAAGTGCTTCTAGAAGTTCTGAGATTTCTATGTTAAATTGTGTGAGGAGGAAAAACAGAATACAGGAACTTGTCTGCAGAATACAGGGACTGTCTGTTTTGACTAAAGGCCCTCAGACTGAGAGCTGGTTTTAAAATCCTGTAAAATGAGGGATTTCCTAACATTCTGACACAGTAACAAAAATACCTGAGTGTTCTGTGTTTTAATTTTCAGAGCTAGTTTTGTGCATTCATAGGTGGCATTGAAGAAAGTGGATCTAAAGCCCAGAATATATAAATATTGTGCCATTATTGCTCTCCATGTCCTGCTGCTCCTCAGCTCCTGAACGTACCATGGTTCTCTCTCTTGGCTCCTCTCCACAGTTCACTGACTCATGGTTCACAAAGTAGCCCAGATTACACAAGGAGCACGGAGCTTTCTGCTTGTTCCAGGTGTCTGCAGCTTTGTTTGTACAAGTAAAGGAACTCAAAGCTGTTGTCTGATTCCAAATGCCAACAGAGACCTGGCACATTTGATTCTGAGATCACCAGATAAGACACAGAGCTGATAGAACAGCAGGACAAGAACCTCCATGTAATAATATTTGGGCTTTTTTTTTTCTCTGTATGAAAATAAAACATTAATTTTGATTTTTAAGGAAATGTTAAATGTATTGCTGCTAAAAGGTGCCAGATACAAAGAGAAGTTTAGAACTACAACCAGGAAAATGTTATCATGGAGCAGAAAGCCCTTATATCACCCCCAGTACACACTGGGCATTTGCAGCTGCTGGTCACTGTTAGAGCCAGATCCCATTTTCCCTGGTTATCTGCATCTCCCCTTTGCTCTGTTTTGAAGGGACATCAGCCTCGAACATCACCAGCCCTGAGAGAGAAGAGCCTGAGCCTCCCAAACAGATCATGTCTGTGCCTCCCCCAGAAGGCAAAAGGAGACAAAAAGAAACTGAGATGAGTTCATTGCCATCCCCAGACACCTCACACCCGGGAGCAGCCCCAGCAGGCAGTGAGTACAATCCTGAACTCTCCATTTGCTCTGACATGAAATAACCATAACCAAGGTGTGTTTATGGTCAGGAGAGTGGAATCCATACCCAGATTTCCAGCTGAGTGTTTGCCTTTCCCCTAGCACTGTCATCTCCTGTTTATTCCTGGCTTTAGCACCCAAACTCCTGCAAGAGCACAGGCACAGGAGCTCCATGGCCCAGCCAGGGCTGTGCACTCATCCTGCAAACCAGAGCCAGGAAGAGCTGCCTCTCCTCACACAGAATTTGTCTGACAGCTTGTCACAGATTATCCCTGGTCAGAAAATTAAACAAAATATCCCAGATCTTCATAATCCATAGACTTTTATAGTTACTCACAGGTTGTGTATATACAGGTTATATATATTTTATATATTATAAAAAGAAGGTGTGTTTTCAATGCTGTTATTTCAGGTGCTGTTTCTGAAGGATCTTTGTATTCCCTCCCTGCTCCACCGCCTCCCCCAAGAGACCTTTTGAACTCCCTGCAGTCCAACCCTCCTGTTTCATCAAGTGTGAAGGTAAATCCCTCTAGCACTTGCTGACTATAACAAGGAAAATTGCCTTTATAGCATTCTGTCTTTTTTCAGTTGAAGTTTATCCATTTACTTGTACAAAACTGATGTAATGAAAATGTGGGACTCGATTACAAAGGGTTTGACTGAATACAGTACTAATGCTTTGTTAGATTGCTTACAGTTTATATAATTTCTTTTGTCAGTGAAGGACTAGTGGGGGATAAATTGACAGTGTTACACACTGCATAGAAGGTGTAACACCCACAAGTAGCAGCTGAGTTTCACAGACTCTCACGTGTAGATTTTACAGAGGGGTTACCATTTCTGTGCCAGCTGGACAGGACATTATATACCAATGATCAGTCAGAACCACATTCCTGTTTTAGTTTCAGTTTATACTTAAAACGTGGTTTCTGCTCAAACCTGGGCTGATATTGAATTTAAGGCTTGTTGTCCAGAGCCTTGAAAATTGCAGGAGGAAGGTTCCATCACCTGTCTGAGCCCCTGTTCCAGTGCTTACCCATCTCAGTGGGGAAAATTCTCCTGATGTTCCTGATGATTTCAGAATGAGGGCTCCTTTTCCTTCCTCTCCACGTCTCTCTCATCTTTCAGTCAGTCTGGGTAGATCTGTGCTGTCCCTGGTCCCACATGGCTGTTCTTGGCTTGTTTTCTTTGGTTTATTTTGTTTGAGGCTTTAAACTCTTCCACAATAACGTGGTCCAGAAGCACCACCAGGAGAAAGGATTGACTCGGAGTGCAGTAGTTTCACAGTTTCTTTAGGTAAAGTTAGTGCTTTGTTTCCTCAAGCTGGGTGCACTTTAAGGTTGTGAAAGCTGCATGGGACTGTAATTATTGCTGGTGTTAGGACTTCCCACACTGGAAGCCACAAATGATTGTGCAACTGAGGCCAGATGGTTCCAAACTCGATACAGCAGATATGAGGTTTGTACCAGAGCATAAATACATCATAGGGGACCCCACTTTCTCATCCAGCTGTTTCTTAACATATAATCCAACTATAAAGATCAATATTTTTTATAACTCAGACTAACATCTCTTCACATAAATAAATGGACTTTTAAACAAAATTAAGTTTGTTTTCTGGGGAAGGTGGAAATGCAAGTTGGTAACTGATTTCAAGTGGCTTTTACTATGCAAAAGTTTTACATCAAGGCAGCTGTTACCTACACCCTAAGCAGTGATTGCACAGTACATTTCACAGTTTCGTTCAGCAATCACTTTGATTGCTTAAAACATGGAAAGGAAAATAGGACACTGAAAGAAAAAAAAAGCTTATGGATTATCATGAGATAAACTTGTTTATTCTACAAATGTGCAGCCCTGCAGCTCTTCTGCTCCCCAGCAGGAGACCATGGCTGATCTCCCCAGTGGGAGCCTCCTCTGGACCTCGAGGGAAATCTCCAGTGCCACAAACAGTTTCAGTGACAAGAACAGGATCTGTGAAGGTGCTTTTGCAGACATCTACAAAGGTCAGAGGAACAACATGGTGTATGTCATCAAAAGACTGAAAGAGGCAAGTACTGCACCTTTCTCTAGAGCAGGGGGTGTTWTTGGCATCTCTTGCCAGKTAGCAGTTATTGTTTCATATTGTGTGGGCAAARATCAGAATAACTGCACMAGAGGAGAGGKAAMATTGAAATGATGGAAATAATAAAACCTAGATTCAGAAAACACATGTGATAAATACTTTACTCATGTGAGTAGTTCCATTGGCTCTATCACAGGAGTGTCCTGCAGTGTGGGTGTCTGTTTGATGAGTGGATTGGGGGTGTCTTTATGTTCCTTTTCTTTCTAATTCTCAGTTAACTGTTGCCTTTGACTTAATGCTGCCATCAGTGGCACTTGCCTGTTTCCTACACTAGCTGATCATCCAGACACTACCAGATCTGTATAAATGCAGAATCCTAGTAATTACTAATGACATTCTCTTGCACGTTTTTATTTTTCAGCTGGAATGCACGAGTCCAAATTCCACACAGAGGTTCTTCCATACAGAAGTGCAGATTTGCTTTCGGTGAGTGTGTCTTTCAGAGGCACTGCTGCATGTCCCACCTGGGGCTGCTGCTGGGTGTTCATCAGCCCTGGGTGTCTGCTCCAGGAACAGTTCTGGGCAAGCAGGATGGTGTCTGTGGCTACTGCTGGGTGTTAACCCTGGGTACCTGTTCCAGGCACAGTTCTGGGCTGGGGCACTGCTGTGAGGAGCCCTGGGCAAGCAGAATTGTGCCTGTGGCTACTGCTGGATGTTCATCAACACTGGTACCTGCTCCAGGCACAGTTCTGGGCTGGGGCATTGCCTGTGAGGAGCCCTGGGCAAGCAGCACGGTGCCTGTGGCTACTGCTGGGTGTTAACACTGGGTACCTGCTCCAGGCACAGTTCTGGGCTCGGGCACTGCCTCAGGAGCCCTGGGCAAGCAGGATGGTGCCTGTGGCTACTGCTGCTCCTGGCTGAGCTGGCACAGCCCCTCTGCAGCCTTGGCATGGGGAGGGTGCAGTGCCCACCCTGAACCCCTCCTGCAGCTCAGGGGGCTCTTGCTGTGTCAGCCTTTGGCCATCTCCTGCCTGGACCAGGCTGTGCTTCCATTTGTGTTTCCAGCACACCATTCCATCCCACTTGCCTTGAATTTAGGAACTTACTCCAGGAATGTATTTTTTTGTATTGCTTTTACTTCATTTGCAAATCACTGCTGTCTGTGCCTGCAGGTGCTGTCACATCAACATTCTGCAGCTGCTGGGGTTCTCTGTGGAAAGTGGATTGCACTGCCTGGTGTATCCATACCTGCCCAATGGCTCCCTGCAAAATAAACTTCAGTGCCAKGTAAGCAATAATCTGGGACTGGCAYCTGCCTGGGATTGAAATCCYCTTCTGGARTGACATGARAAACAATKGCATCTCTTTGATTTCTGAGAAACAGCCAGAAAAAAACGGTGCTGAAGTGCCTTGGCTGCAAACAGAAAGGCATCACATCTCCYAGAGTTTGRTTGGGACTTGGSCYAAGYCTTTGGTTTTCTAAACTACCAATGTCTTACAGTGTTTTATTCTATTAATTAYCAATTTTTCCTCCTTYCCTTGCAGGATGATTCTGCTCCACTGACATGGGAGACACGRATTAGCATTTCTATAGGAGTCATCAGAGCAGTGGAGTATTTGCATAATTTTGGAATTCTTCATGGGAATATCAAAAGGTGAGGSCTTTGGCATATCTGCACTTCCTTGGTAGTTCAAGGATTTRTTTAACAGTCATGGCYAAAATTTATGCAATTTGGAAATCCATTTTCAGTGTTTTCTGCTGTCCCTTGTTTTGTACTGCCTTTACCCTTTTTTTGTTTAACCTAAATKACAKTTCTCTCTTTCCTAAACGATGGAAGTATATWCCTTTGAAGTAATTTTTGAGTGCTKGTTTTTYCCCTTCTTGCTTTTTMACATGCTTTATCCTTTCACTCCTATGTGGCAGGCCAAATGCTGGACAGTTTCACTGCTTAACTTTAAAAGTATAAAACTAATTTTTTGCCTCAAGATAAAGTAATGATTTGCCAATATTGTTATCTGTCTGTCATTATCACAGCTCAAATGTCTTGTTGGATGAAAACTTCACAGCAAAGCTTGGGCATTCTGGCCTGCGATTGCATTCTTGTGATAAAAAATCAGAATATGCCGTGATGAAAACCAAAGTCCTGCAAGCATCTCTTACTTACTTGCCTGAAGATTTCATCAGACACGGGCAGTTAACAGAGAAAGTGGATATCTTTGGCTGTGGTGTGGTACGTTGCCTTTTTTGCCTGCTCTGTTCCATTTTTTGGTGCTTCCAGACAAGAAATTGAATATAAGAGTAAGTGCCTCATATGGTCATTTTGTTGGCAATTTCAGATTATAGTTGCTGGCTCTATAATGTGCTGAAATCCTGGTTTTAACATACCATACCAAATATGTCTCAGTTTGTGGCAAAAGGTGGTGAATCTTTTGAACAAGGGAAAAGTGTTTTTTATTATAAATAAAATATTACTGCTGATGGTTTAAAGCAAATCAGATGCTCAGAATTCTTGCAGACTCATCACATGAAATGCTACAAACATCACCCGTTCATTTGTAATTTCAGCTGAAATAATTGACAGTCTGTGATGTCACTTCCAATTAAATAGGAATTTAGTCTGTTCAGTGTGATTTCTAATCTACATTTGGCTTTACTTCCTTCTCATTCTTTGTTTCAGCAATACCTGTTGTACTATAAAATCTGTCTCTGGAGGTGCATCTAAAGCACCAGATAAATGCTCTGAGCTGGCACTGTTAAGCTATCTGAAGTGAAAATGTAATATCAAAATGTATTGAAAGTTCAACATTTCTTTAGTTAAAAAACGTATTTTTTAAAATCATAGTTTATTGTGAACAAATTGTTTTATCTTTCAAATACAATTTCCAGATCTTAGCAGAGATACTGACAGGGATTAAGGCGCTGGATGAGGACAGAAACCCAATTTACCTGGTAAGAAAATGCAGCAGTAATGAACACCAGTATGAATGAAGGGGGTTGCTGGCATAAAAATAATTAAAATTTTACTTAAATGAATTTGCTATTTGCTGTCTGCTGTACMTGTCCTGCAGAAGGGCTGTTCAGGAGTCATACCCTGGTTCCAGCAGATATTCCCACTTCACTTACCACACTCATGATGCTGGCCTGAGTGTTTTAGCAGAAATCCAAAATAAATAAATACTGAAGAGCTGAGGCTTTGTGCTGAAATGCTGCTGCATGTTTCCTGTGTGCAGGAAGAGGTGGTGTGAGCCACAGTGAATGGGGAATGGGTAGGTGAGAGCTGTAGCTGCTGATCAGAATATTCTGTTCATCAGGGGTTTGTGTGGTGCCCATCCCTGCAGCTGCTACCATGGCCAGTGTCCTGAGGTTAGAGCTGCACTCACCACTTCACAAACAATCCCAACAGCCAGGCTCACTGAGTGTATTAAAACATCTGTAGAGATGCAGATGTTCCACCTGCATTCCTTCTAAGGGAAGCACTCCTGGTTTCTCATCTGCTGAGGCTTGGTGGGCACAACAGCAGTGTTCTCACTGTTTGCAAACAATTCAGAGTGGTCCAGAAAATCAAAGATCCTGTGTTCCTCATTTCTTTAATGTGTGTTATTAAGGCCTCTGTAAGAATGCTGTTCTACAGTGTTGGCTTTTTTCAYTCCTATATAAATGAGCACAAGCCAAGAAGAGCTGGCTCTGCTTTAGGGAATTTGACATTGGACACATGCAAAGAAAGCCCCTGGCCTTTTTCTCTGCTGTGAAAACAAACATTTCAGTCCATTCATGAATGGAAATTATGGAAACTTTTCTGTCTGTGAACCAGACATTGAGGAGCTCTAATGAYAAATACACAACAGTACTGATTCTCAGAGAGTCTGACAAAAATCAATGCTTGTGTTAATTGTCTTGACTAACACATCTCCTTCCATTGAACAGAAAGATATGATTGCCGATGAAATCCAAACAGCAAAAGAAAACTCACACTCCAAAGTAAAAAATTTGGAAAAACTGGCTGCCAAGGAAATCTGTTGCAAATACCTGGACAGAAAAGCAGGACATTTGCCCGAAGAGGTGGCTGTTGATTTTGCATCAGCCATCTGCCTTTGCCTGAGAAAGAAGAATTCTAACATAGCAGAGGTAATATTTTAAATATTTGGCCAAGATTTTAGTCTCCTTGTCACTGAGGTCAAAAGCTACAACATTTTTGTCTTGCTTATTTTTGTGTTGACATAGAAGAATATGTGTAAGCAGGAATTACTATGCATTCATGGATTTAATTGTTAAAAACAGGTACTTGAAATGATGGAAATGGCTGAAAACAAGTTAAAAGAGCATTATCTCTGTGGAAGCAGCACTTCTGGATTCTCCATGAACACTCCAGAAGAAACGGATGATGAGACAGCCAGTGTGAGCGTGGATGTTGCCTGTGCAGGGGGGAGTCAGGAGAGCAGGCAGGGAGCAGTCCTGGCTGGTGGCACTGTCCCCTCGATGGCACCTGACACCTATGGGGACATGTCACGGGTCCCCTGTGAGTCAGATGAGTCCAGCAGCTTCACATGGAATCCTCCAGAAAAATGCCCAGAGCAGTTCTCCAGCCTCAGCTGGAGCAGTTCAGAGCGAGTGGCAGCCTCTGATTGCAGGAGCAAGCAGGAAAAGGCCCCGCAGGGAGTGCAGGACACAAAGGTGACACGTGCCAGAGGTGATGGCATCCTGGGGACAGCAGGGGCTGCACAGGGCTCCTGCCCACAGGCAAACACAGACCTGGACTCTGCGTGTGCTTCACAAGGTAAAAGTGCCCTCATCTTACAACAGCAGGGACGAGTTACTCTGTCCTCCACAACTGCTTGGGTTCCTCTTCCTAGCTGTAAACACATTGCAGTAAATCTTTCATCTTTGGTTATAAATTCATTAATAAATCTACAAAACATTTTATAGTTTTCTATCAGATTTCTTTTCCTAAGCCCATTTTTTGTTAGGTTGGTTGCTTGCTTGCTTTCTTAAAATTTAAAATTACCAATTCCTTAGACAATAGATGGATTTTTTTTTTCTCAGTATTTGGGGTATTTCTCAGTATTTTTTTTTTTTGTTTTTCAGCCTTAGCCAGAGAGACATCTTGGAAAATACAGATAAATGATCAAAAGAAGAAGCTCATGGAAAATATTTTGCTGTATGAAGAAGACAAGTTAAACAGTTCTGAACTTTTTGAATAATAAATTGGATGGATTTATTAGCAGTGGCCAGCTCAAAAGAAGAAATAAGGATCGTCTCTACATTAGAAAGATGGTAATGTGTACCTTTCATGTAAAATTAGGTAGCAGATTTGGATCAGGAGTATTAGCCCTGACTGAAGGAAACAAAAGCATCACATGGAGAAGCAGCAGAAAATACCTGTTAATAGCAGATTAAAGCACAGTCCTTCTCTGTMCACAGAAATGCCTTCTGCCCTTTCATCTGCAGTATGAGAAGAAATGGCAAACTCAGGTGCCAGAATAATTTATGATCATTTGCAGTGTTTCAGGAAGCAGCTGTTTGTCCCATTAAACTCCARCCCCAGTGCTGCTGAGCAAACCCTGAGCAGTGGCCAGGCAGGAATGCCCTGTGTTGTGTCCCTTTGGGAGCAGAGACATCAATCCTCAGTCACTGGGGAGGATTTCCAGTGCCTCTCCCATTTCATGGAATCTGAGTCCATGCACTCAAAACGCTGCATTGCCAGAGAGGGGCATTTTTGTGCCAGTTCTCAGATGTTGTGCACGGCTTCATCTCAGTTTGAATTGCACTGACCACAGGTGTAAGTAAATAATTTCAGTCCCTTTCCTGTACTCTCTGAGCTCCTCTCTCACATACACATGATGCCATTTAAGTTCAGCCTTTCAGTTCCCTCTGGGGAGCTCTAAGATGGTGTTTAAYACTTCACAGGAGTACTTCTGGGAATTACTTATTTCTAAGTGTCCTTTACATGTTAATTTTTCTCAATGTGTTTCACATGGTAACGTGTATATTTTGGATTAGGGAAGAGATTTTAATTTAAAATAGCTTTGATTTTTAATAGGATGCCTGAAGTATACTTGGTTGTATTTATTTTGRCAATGGGTCAAATATAAGCTAGTAAAGGGTTCCACACTCAGGTGTTCTCAGAGGAATCCTTGTGGGCATCCCTTGGCTCACCCAGCAGTAGCAGCCTTGGGCTCAGCCTCAGGGGTCACATGCAAAAGGAAAAATGGAAGTTAGTATGCTGGCATATTTATGATCAGGTGAAAGCCCCCTTAAGAAAGTGCCACTTTGGTTTTACTATTGCTAGCATATACTTTACTCATTTGCAGTTAGGGAAATATAGGTTTATTATAAACCAAAAGAACTATCAGAGTATGTAGCTCACCTTACAAAGAGGTGACTGCTGCCTCCTGAGCACAGGGAACAGGCCTGATGTGCAGAAATGGCTGCAATTCACAGAGCAGTTCAGGGAACAACAACAAATTAACTAWGTGTAATTACTTTTGTTGGAATTATGTAATAGTATATTTTCCTAGCTTTACACAAAGGCCTCACGCCTTTTATTTTTGTACAGTTCATTGTATGTATTATTATGAGCAAGTAAAAGTATTTTAACTAAAGACCCAAGTACTGGAATTATCTATGCATTTTTCAAATTATTCTCTACACTAAAAACTGGTAAAAATCCTTAATCATGTGGCTTGGATACTTGTCTGTGTATTCACCAATGTCAGTTTTTTAATTTTACCAGAATCAAACCAGGATAACATTAGTACTGACATAAAGWATATTGTGTATTCAGATTGGTCAATAACTGCTTAATTCTACAGGAGATTTAATTGAGATACTTTATGCTGCTGAAATGTACTATTCTTTGTTTCTCATGGGTATGTTCTCAGAAACCATGGTCAAAACATCGTTTCTCCTCCAGGAAGGAGTGCACGTGGACACACCACAGAACTGTATGGGAAACCTCAGAGTTTTAAACAGAGAAATGGAATCTGTACATTCTGTTTCACACAAGTGCTTTAGAGGTTTTGGTCTCCTGTAGTCACCAAATAGAATTGTTATTCTTTGCCTCTGTTAGTTTTAAAATATTCTGAGGTGATATGGGTGGTCTTACAGCCTTACATATTCAACATAACATACATAAGCCATTGTGTGGTCTTACATTAACACTGTTACATAACTTGGCCATTCAGAAGCCAGTTTATATATTCATTACCATTTATGAATAGCTTTGTGAATAAAGAACTGAAAAGTTCCTTTCTTTTTAGCCTGTTTTTTCATGATTTATGGCACAGGGCGGGAGGGGCGTGGCCCGGACTGAGCTCTCCGGGCACCGCTCTCCCTTTTCCTGCACTTCTCAGAGAACAGACAAACGTTGGCTTTAAAAATAACTGCCCAGTGTATGAATGGGCTCACATCCTTCTTTCTTCCCTTACAATGAGTAAAGCTGTGAGACCAGAAAAGAGAAGCTGGCACTGCTTCTGTTCTCCTGAGCCAAGATAAAAGGAAGAGCCACGGCTTTGTAGAGCCCAGTCTTGATGAACTATTACAGGAAAAAAACCCTCCAAAAAAAACAAGYTCTTGCAAAGCTAATTCCATGGATRGGAGGACAAGGACTGGCTTACCTGAAGACAAACTGCAGATTGCCTTGATCAGACCCCTGTGAAAAGATTATTTAATACAACACACCAGGTTTTAACCAATAGGACTTTATTCTGTTGGTATCTCAACAAAAAAATCCAAACTGATGTACAGTACAGAAGTGTGACTAAAAAAAATAAATCTTCAAACCATGGTTTGATTTTTCATTAGTTAAATAACCAAGTCTGAGATTACTGTAAAGCAGAAGACATGCATTCCACTACTCCTTTTCATCTTCAAGAAAGCCAAGAGCCTTTCACCTGCCCAAGCACCTCATTTGCAGGAAGCTGTAAATACGATGGCACTATTACTAGCAGGACTAGCCAGCACACTGCCAGCTCACCCAGCACTCCACCAGCCCTTCCCCTCACCTGAAACAAAGTTCTGGCCTTTGAAGGCACTGAGTATTTGTCACCTTGCATAAAGGAGTTCACACCTCATCATTRTAACAGCTGCCTTCTGTTCTGCTCAAGGGCTTGAGCTCTGACCACAGCACATCCAATCAAATTTGATCCCTAAACCAGAAAAGCAGGGTATAATTCCTACAGTATCAAGGAGTAGTATCAGGCACAGTACTTGGCTATACTGTTTACCTCAAATTTAAGGGAATGTCAATTAAGGCTGATTATCAACATATTTTAGCCTCCCAGTACTAGTTTTAGAGTGCTCATAAAATTGGATAATTGTTTCCCATGTTCATGTCCAGTTTAGATAAAATCAGTTCTCATCTGGCTCAAGAAACATTGCAAATCAGGGACAGTGATCACTTGCTGCAGCTGAGTATTCCATGGTGTGTCACTGCTCGTTTTGCTGCCCTTCTGTCACAGCAGMCACTCCTCCCTGGCCCTTGTTGACATCACTGATACACGCCCACAGTCCGTCCACCGACTCCTTCCACAGAGTCACCTCAAAAACAGAGCAGGAACAACTGTCAGCTTTAAACACATCCTGTTTCCCCTTTCCTAGTAGCTACCATAGCACAGGTTTGGTGACAGCCTGCAGTCATATTCAGCCTGCATTTCTGCCCTCCAATAAGGACACAGAATGCAGTGCAARTACTTTTCCAAAGGTTAGAGTCTTCCTGCCCTCTTGATCAATCAGAAGAAGATATGTCCCCATTTCAGCACAGGACACCCTATGAAAACCTTGTGTTAAACAAGTGCCAACAGCCTGTCTCATCTCCTTTGGAAACAGGGCACACAGGGGTAAAGGCAGCAGTACTCACTTTGTTGTCTCCTCCAGACACYGCAAGGATATTGGCAGTGATGGACCAGCTCACGTGCCAGACAACATCATTGAACTTGTGCAGCAGCTTTGGTGACCACGAGTTTCCAGAGGCATCATCACATGTCCAGATAAACACTCGGCCATCCTGCAAAAACACAGGGACCAGTTGGCTGGGCACAGGAAACACTGCCCTGCTTTGTCCTAGGAGCTACACTCAGAGATCACAGCTCTGATACCACCCCTTGATGTCTGCACAGATTTGTGCTCMACACAGCAAGGGGGCTGTTTCCTCGCTATGTGTAAAGGCAAGGCAGGAGCCTTTATAAATAGCTCACCTGTGAGCAGCTGGCAATGGTGCTGGTTGGCAAACCTATGGATGGAGCCCAGGCCACATCTCGCACCCAGTCACTGTGAGCCTCCAGCTTCTGCTCCTCTTTCCACTGACCATCTTCTTCCCTGGAAACACAATCATAGAGTCACAAGGGGAGTGGCAGCATTTCTCATTCCCTGCCTAGACAGGCTTTGGATTGTAGCTTTCAGACACCTTGTTCATCCAGAAAATACAAAGCACAAGTGTTCCCCACTTCTCCAAAAATCCCTGTGGCTTGAACGGACAAAATCCCTTCCCAGGGACAGAAAGCAGCACAGGCAAAGAGTAACCTTTGGTTACTGTCAGAAATCTGCTATTGCCCAAGTGACAGTGGTAATCAAAGACCATTAGAAAGCTACTCTCAGAAACAGGGCTGGCATAAACTGAAAGAACCATGGGAGATATTGCACATCACTAAGTTTCCATTTTTAAAACGCTTCTCTAAAACACTAATTCAAAGATGATACAACAGGGATGCTCAAAATATTACTTGAGATACTAACAGGGACACTCAAAGCCTGGAGTGTCAGGTTTTATCTGGCGACAGGGCACTTACTTCCAGATCTTGACCAAGTTGTCACAGCCACCAGATGCAAATCTTTTGATGTAGTTTGGCTTTTGACTGGAGGGTTGTTCTATAAGACTGCCTGGTACAACAGCAGGAGCCCAGCTAACTGCATTACATCCAATCTAGTAAATGAAAAACATCACTATTAAAAATTGYTAACTTTAATAAAATAAACAGATAAAGGCTGCTGGGGGGGGAGAGTGAAGAACACGTAGCATACTCTCTACTGGGAGTGGGGAATAAGCCTATGTCAGAAAAACTGAAGTCTTGCACAATGCTGGATGAGTGTCGGATGAATTAAAAATCCAGACACAATCTAGTCTCACYAAGGCACTTACTCAGAAAGCCTGAGGTAGCTAAGGATATTTGCACATAAAATTGTTCATCCTGGAGGTGTAAATAGTGGAGACAAAGATGGAAACTGCAAGGACACAAGGCATACACAGTTGCTAAGATTTGGGAATAGAGGAGTAGAAGGAACCTTTGGTCCTGAGCCAAATTTCCTTCTATTGGGGGCCACTGCCATTAGCTTACTAAGTTCTGCTTAAACAAAAACATCCAATAATTTTAGG